GGGTAACTGTCCCGCTGTCTAGCGCCTGGGCTGTTACGTGGCAGGCACAGTGCTAGCTGGTGGCAGGCTCATCACGTCCCGTCACCCTGAAGGGCTGATTGCGCTGGCCTTGGGCACACAGACTCCCTACCACTTGCTCAATCATTCACTGTAGGCTGTAGAACATATTGACGTTCACCTCTTGATTCCTAGATAAGGCGAGGGTCTCTCCAGACTGCGAACAGCTCTTACTGATTTATAGCCATTAACGTAAGCTTGAAAATATCACAGACTCCTCTTATGTGGGGGAGGAACTGCTGTTTATCAGCTCAGTTAGTTCCTTTCACTCATTTGGGAAAGAGTACATGTATTTGTATATAAAACTTAAGATTTATCAAATGGCAACTTTAACTCGTACTTTTCAATTTAGAAACTACAAGTTTAGCCCAATAGACTCAGAACACGTTGAGACGTTGAAATCTTATCAATCTCATTTAACTTCATTAATATTTCTAATGAAAATAAGAGACACTAGAATGTGAACAGATGGGATAACGACCCTTTGATGTTTGCCCTTTTCTCTTCAGACTTTGCCCATCCCTCTGAATTGTTCTCAGCCACCATGAGTCCACACAGCTTACTTGGTTTTAAGGAGCACATCGCTCACTAATTTTTTGAAAATCCGGATTATACCTGGCTAGCAAATGTTCAAGGGAAGAGTAAAATATGAAAATATAAAATATTACGATGCAAATTTCTGGGGCACAACATGAAAGACAATATCTAAATAAACACTATTTTTCATACTCTAAAATGCAGAAAAGTGTTTTCAAACGTTTGTGCCATTTATCCAAACAAGAGAATCTCGCCTCACTGCCTCCTCCTTTCTATAACTCACATTTTAAGAAATCCACCCCAGAGATTTTCAAGTCACAGACCTAAGCCTAGAAACGAAGTTGTTTTGTCAGTCTGGTATTTTTGACCTCGGGAAAGGAAAAAAATCAATACTTTTTAAGCAAGTCTATAAATCTTTCCCGAGTCACTAAAGCAATTTTTAAAGGCAAACCCTCTATATGCCTTTTGTCGTTGTTTTTAACAGTCCCCGTGCTTAGCTCCGTGTAAGAGATTTAGTTGAGCAGATCTGTTGAGCTCTTCTGCGTTCAGCCTGGGGGACCCTAAAAATAAAACTCCTGGGGGTGGAGGGTGCGGCTTAGGCGAGTAGGAGACGGTAACCGAGTGGATGATGTCACAGGTGTTTAACTCAGGGCCGGCCTGAAGCACAGAGCATTCCGCTGGACAAGGAGAAAGAGATACAAAGTCTGGTCCAGTTTCCCCCATTCCTAGATAGTTTCGGCTTCTGCCTAATTTTATTAGAAAGAGAGGAGTCATTTACTCCTCATCATTTTATTCATGTTTGCCTCTCAATTAATGAAAGGATAACTGGGGGGGGGTCTGTTTTTTAATCCTTCTCTTAATCGGCCTCGACTGACTGCAGGTTGCTTTTCTGCTTTGTCTCAGCCACTCGCCTCCTATTCCCCGAGGCACATTCTGCTGATCCTGTTCTTCCGGGACTCTTCACTCTCTTTGCTCCCTGGGTTTTTATACATATGAGCCTGTGTGCGGTTCATTAAGATCCTCATTTAACCAACTAGCAAACGTTTTGCATTTTTAAGCTCCGTGGGTTGGTTTCTTTCCCCCCCCCCCAAGGTTATTTCTTAGGTTAATTTTATTTTAAAAACCAACAGATTGTTCAGAGATTTTTAGGTTTATATTTTTCCTTGCTTTTTTTTTGTTTGTTTTGTTTTTTGTTTTTATTTGAAATGTGCTTTCTTAAAATTGATCTGTACTTTAAAAAACGATATTTTCAAATTTGCCTTTCATCGGCACAGACACTGTGCTGTGTCTGAGTCCGTAGTGGGACGCTCCTTCTGCCTCCCGAGGGTGGTGACTGTTAGCTCAGCCCCTTCCCACTCTCTTCCCTAGACCAGCTAGAGTCTGACTTCCCTGTGCATATGTTTTCCTAGTAGATAACTGCTTTAAATTCTCCCATGAATTCCTGAATGTGATAATTTTGTGGTCAACCCGTGACAGTTTTCACCATTTCATTTGGAAACAGCCCCAAACCCCTTTGCTCTTCAATTTCCGCTTTTGCCATTTTTACTACTTATTCTGTGAACCAGGGAACCCTGGTGTGTGTCCACTTGATGCCGGAAACACTCTTCATCAGACTGAAGCTTTTATGAGAATTTGCAGCTGGCCCAGCAGTGCAAGCTTATTTTGTCATAAAATTCTCCTAGTGATGATGCTGTGACATAGACACTGCTGTTCTGTCCATTTTTTTAGAGATTTTCCAAGGCTTAGTGACTTGCACAGGACACATAGCCAGAAAATGACTTAGCCACGGTTCAGATTCCTTCCTGGGACCAACATCTCATTACTCACTATTTCTCTGTTATTCTGACTGAGATAACAATGATGAATAATGACCTTCAACTCATTCTCTTTCTTATTCTTTTTAGTTTATCAGTGGTGTCCTGGCATGATTCAATATGTTAGCGATTAGTGTTCAGATTGTCCTGGACCTGTGTGCGTCCTTTTTTTTTTCTTATGTCATTTACAAGAGATCTAGCATCATTGCTTAACATGACACTATTCTGGTCCCTTCTGCACAGCAATTCAGTCCTGAAGTATGGGGTTTTTGCAGGTTTTGGGGGGGGTTGCAGTTTTTGGCTAGGGCTGGGTTTGAACCTGCCACCTCCAGCTTACAGGGCTGACACCCTACTCCTTTGAGCCACAGGCACCACCCTGAAGTATGTATTTTTTAATCCCTTCCCAGACTGATCTAATTAAAATTTCCTTTAGCAGAAATTTCCAACACCTTCCCAGCCCCACCCCCCAAACCATCTTTCCTAGTGAAAGAAAAAGACCACCCCACTGATGGCCTTGATCAGCCCAGACTTGCACCTCATGTGGGACAGAAGTGAGGGCTCTGGAGATGCCCTCAAAGCCCTGCTTACCTTTCCCTCCAGAACACCTGCTTTTCCCCAAGGCAGATAGGTCTAGTGACTGTGCTTCTTCCGTCATGGTTAAGATCTGCCCTAGGACAGCTCTTCAGATGAGCAACCCACAGGACAAGAAAACCAAATACGATCTATGTTAGAATTTTCTTTCTTCCCTATGTAAGTTTTGCTCTCCAAGTAAAATCAATGAATTGCTCGGGTGTTTCAGTAAAAGATATGTGGTCATCGTGAGTGTGCACTGTTCTGATGGCAATGAACATCAGTACAGTGGGAAAGAATGATTGTATTCTGAAGTCTCCTGCCATCCCAGCAGCCACTTATGTCACTGAACTCTGGGCTTATTTCACATTCTGACTGATGTTTCTCTCCTTCTCCCAACCAGTTAGAGCTGAAACCTCAAGGCCGAATGCTAATGAATGCAAGATACTTTCTGGAAATGAGTGGCAAGTGACATTTCTTCTTCCTGTTTGGGGGTGAGGAGGGCAAGGCCTTTCAAGTGCAGCTTACATTACCTTTGCAATGATCTGAGGCAATAATTAGGAGAAAAGAGAATATTTCCTTAAAATTTCTAGCAGTGCTCAGGCATGAACAGAAAATACACGATGTGGGCCAGATAAACACAGACACATAACACAAAGACAGGTTTCTTTTTTAGGTGGGGTGAACTTGTATGCCCACATCACTTTTATCAACTGTCCTTATATTAGTTTGGGACTGTGATATAAAGACAAAAGACTGTTTGTGTGTTGTGATGTGTGTGCACATTGCATATAAGTGATGTGCTGTGACAAGCTTTCACCCTATCAGTAAAATGCAAACCGAGTAAGCGACAGGGAAATATTTCCCACAAAATTAGTGGCAAAAAATGCTAACACTTAAGGTTAGTCACTGCAAATCCTTTCTGGAACAAAGAAAGGTGAAGAAAAATGCATTGCTAAGGAGCTGTGCTTCCATGTATGTCCCATGCAAATTTTGGCCACAAAAGGTTAATTTCCCAGCCGGGTGTCCTTGTGGCCTGCAATAGGCCAGGGCTGTCTGTGTCAATCAAATGCCTCTGGTTCACAAAATCCTGAACGTTAGCATGGACATGGGAACTTACTGATGGAAAACCATTTTCATTTTTCAACCTAAGTTTTACTACCAAGAGGAAAATTTTAGTTTAGAGATTTGGGGTGCTGTGTGGGTTTTTGCTTAACGCATATAATTCCTCTGGGTCCAGATTCAAACAGATACATTGGAAAAAAACAATTTATGGGGTGATCAGGGAAAGCTGGAACACTCACCAAATATTGATGCCAGTGAGGCATGGATATCAACTTACGTGTGACAATAATATCGTGGTTATTTTTTCTAAAGAAGTTCTAATCATTTGCAGATTCTTGCTAAACTATTTCCAGATAAAATAATACCATGAATTTGCTTCAGAATAATCCTTTGGCCTGGGGTGGAGGGAGTGAGCTAGGTATGTGGGGGGAGGGAGTGGCCATGAATTTATTGATGTTGAAGCTGGATGATGTGTATGCAGACACAGATTACAGTGTTTGCTTAACTTTTGTGTACATATAAAATTTCCCATAATAAAGTTTTTTTTAAAAGAAAGAAAACAATTCCTGAGAAGGGAGAAAAGTACTCTCAGCTTTTCTTCTTTCTCTCTCGAGGTTGCAGACGTAAAGTGCATATAATTATGCTGTTGGTGAATTGGCTAAATGAGTTTGCAGGGCATCTGAACAACCAGATTTGCATAGAAAGCAAAAGCACGGGCCTAAATAGAAAAACCAATAACGTGTAGCTCCTTAAATAGAGAAAGCATTCGTTTCCCATTAGCGGAAAACAGGGCCCAGTGTAACAATTTACACTGAGAGAGAATCCTCCAGCAGAATGCAAGTATTTTCAGTAAATGATTTTAAGATCCCTGCTTTGAAAAACAATTTCGTGGGTATTCTTCCAATTACTACAAAACTTAAATTCTCTGTTAGAATGAGAAAGGAAATTCGGGTGGGGCAAAAACAGTGCTATTTCACCAGCCAGAATTACCCAGTACTTTTTTTTTAAGACTGAAAGTGTATAACATACACCACTTTTTTATATCTAGACCCAAATTGAGACTCCATCTATAAATTTTTATATATCCCCCAAATCTAATTTTTTTTGAGACAGAGTCTCACTATGTCACCCTCAATAGAGTACCGTGGCATGACAGCTCACAGCAACCTCAAACTCTTGGGCTTAAGCAATTCTCTTTCCTCAGCCTCCCAAGTAGCTGGGACTATAGGTGCCCACCACAATGCCCGGCTATTTTTTTGTTGAAGTCGTCATTGTTGTTTAACTGGCCTGGCCTGGATTCGAACCCGCCAGCCTGGGTGTATGTGGCTGGCACCCTACCCACTGAGTTATGGGCACTGCCTCCCAAAATCTAATTTTTAACAACGAATTTTGTATAATAACCTAACTACAAAGTTTCTTGTTGATGTCAAGCAGAAGGGCACAGATGATGTTCAATTTTAATAACATCTATTGTTGTATATAAAAAAGTCTTCCAAAGGATTCAGAAAAGCAGAACATGAGTTCTGCTCAGAGAATGTTAAATCCTGTTTGCGGGGGTGGGGTGCAGATTAAGCAATTAGAGGAGAATTATGATCTAAACCACATCAATACCGATTAACCTATTACAGTATCATTATTTATTAGTATTTATGTTCTGTATTATTTATACATGCATGCATATGTGAAGGCCTTCCAGAAAATATCCAGCCAGGTTAATACTGTTTATCATAGTGCACGGCTGGATACTTTCCAGACATCCGTGTGTGTGTGTGTGTGTGTGTGTGTGTGTGAGTCAACGATACAGTAGGGGTTCCCAGAATAGTTCACGTCCATTCCCAAAATTTAAAAGTATTTTTACACTTAAATTTATTTCACCTGGACCAAAATAGAAATGAGTCACATGTTACAAACAAGTGCCCTAGTACACAGTCACAGGTTGCAAATAGATCTCCACACCAGAACTGTGGAAAAAGGGGATCAACCCAGTGACCCTCAGTTTAACCCCTCACTAACCAAGCCTACTTATTTTCAGCCTAACTTCTAAGTAAAAAGACCTAAACTACCCAGCTTTAAAGTATCAGGCAAAGTACTGCATCTGCAGTTACTGGGAATGCTGTTTATCTGGGGGCTGCCATAAACCAGGTCCATCCTGGGATGTTCAGAGGACTTTTGCTTGCCTTGTGTGTTTCTGGCCTGGCCACCACGAGAGACTGGGAAATAAGGTGCCTTGGAAGGGAGTATTTGTCCCAAGTGCACTTTTAGACAACCGAGCTGCTTAGCCAGAACAGAAATAATTTAGGTTAAATATTGTTAATTCTTTGTATTTGTAAAATATCATAAGCCCCTTATTCACTCTAAACCTCAAATTTTTACATTTGTAAAAATAAACATAAAGAAAAAATAATTCAAGCTATCATAAAAATTATAATTTGAGGAGTTAAATTATCTTTATTTTATTTGTATCTATATGTTTACTGTTCTTATTTTAGTGACTGTTATTTGTATTTCTTTACTGTTTCACATATAATTTTCTTTCATATGCTGGCGTGTTCATCACTGTAGAACCATGACTGCTTTCTATTGTGTGCTTTTGGGGGGACTTATGTTATCATAAGTTGCTCATCTCAGAGCCCTTCAGCCTTTTGGAAGGATGTCACCTGGGTATAGGGCACAGTGGGCAGTGACTACCCAGAGAAGTTTCACCAGTCCTCACGAGCTCAGAGTAAACTGAATAGATGTGAATTGGATGGTGTGAGTAGATGACTAGGAAATCCACAGAATTACTAGACACTGGAAAAGTTGCAGGGATCCATTAACCATCCAGCTCTTTCCACATTGGTGAGTGTAGTCTGTAGCTGACACCTCTGGTCACTGTGGACATCAGGAACTAGGACTCAAATGACTTCCCAAAGTTCTTTTGCTCTCACACAAACATCTGGCCAGCTCCTTTCTGTGAACAACCAGATGCACAGCATCCCGGCACCTCAGAGATGCTGGTCCCAGGTTGTTTTCAGTAAACACGTGATTCTCTAGAATCACAGACAGCAAAGCATTGGCCACTTCCTGCCTTTTCTGGCTGACTCATCACTGAGTCTGGTGATGAAGAGAGGATGCTGAATACCTTTAGAATTCTGATTTCTGGTTTTAAAAACCAAAAGAGGATAATTCAGCCCAGACATAGAGAAGCGAAGGATTGAACCAGCAGTCTAACGTCAGTGTTTTCGCCTCCACTCATACGCTCCATGGTAACTCAGCTTCACAGAAGTGAAGAGAGAAGCTCAGTGTCAGACCCCCCGAGTAAGTCCTGGGACTGTCACTGGTGTAGGCAGAACTCACCCCTCTCTGTCCCTACCCAGCTGAACAGCCGTAGTGCAGAACTTCACGCTGACCCCTCTCATCTTCCTGCAGACACAAAGGACATGAGCGAATTTGAAGCAGAAGGCTTCTTTGCTCTGCACCATCGCCGGGGAGCCATCAAGCAGGCCAAAGTCCACCACGTGAAATGCCACGAGTTCTCCGCCACCTTCTTCCCACAGCCCACTTTCTGCTCGGTCTGCCATGAGTTTGTCTGGTACAGTAACTCAGCGTTTCACTCCCAGCTTGTGCGTTTTCTTGCATGCTCTTAACTGGCCAGGCCTGGCACCCCCAACAGCAGAGCAGGGAGGGGCTCAGGGATCAGTGCCATGTGGGAGTTGTTGATGTGGTGTGGCCTGGGCCAAAGGGTTCAAAGGGTGCGATTAGGTAAAAGACTTCAGGGCGTGATTCCTGTACAGCCGGGAAGCCAGGTCTGATCTGGAAAGAAGCTCAGAGGACTTTAGTTTCTGACTAACTGGAGGTTGCTGGGAGGTGGGGGGAGGTGAGCAGGGAGAAGCAGATGAGGAAGGCATCTTTATTATATGCTGGTCTACAGTTTTATGGTCTAAACTTCCTCTGCCTGACAGCACAACCGTACTGGTGCAATTGTTTGCAACAGACAGCGCTTTCCCATTGTAGCTAATGAATTAAACCTCACGAGGCTCCTGGGTGCCTTAACAGCCATTGAGCAGACATCAGTTTAAGCCTCAGGAAACACATAGCACAGCTGACATAGAGAAGAGCCTTGAAATGACTCCCGATTCTGCTTCTCAGCCCCCTCGACTAATGAAGTGCACTCTCCCCTCTGGACCACTGAGGAAGCTGTCAGCCCCCAGCTCCCACCTACCCAGGGTATCCAAAGGCCACATAGACTTCTGGTGGATTTTCATCAACTTGTTTTCATCTAATTACTTAAAGCTCCTTTCTTTCTAATAATGAGTGCTGCGCAGAAATCGGTCTTAAACTTGAGACTTCGTCAGTTGCAAATATTCTCAGACACTCAGAAAAAGGGACTAGAGTGAGCCACAGATGTCTTTGTTCATCCGAGGAAAGCTCAGCCAGGCAATGAATGTTTAAGTCTAGCGCATAGAAATTCGCTCCCAGGAGCCCCAGGCTGCGGGTTTGGGCCGTGCATTTTAACTTGTCTCTGTGCCTTTACAAAATACAAAAGGGAAAAGGAAACTGGGTGAACTTCAATCGTTTAATTATCAAACCTTTAACAAAGCAGCTTAAATTTAAAAAAAAAAGAAAGAAAGAAAGCACAAGAACACTCTTAGCAAACGACACACCAGGGCCACACATCAGAAAACGCTTTGTGATCCTGGGACGCTCTTGGGTCTCCTTTGCCTCTTAAATGTTTTTGGTGCTGATGCTGACATGGGACACCAAATAAAACCAGCCTTGTGCTTTGTTTATTTCAGGGGCCTGAACAAGCAGGGCTACCAGTGCCGACGTAAGTCAAAGGATTTCTGGTGCACTGTCGTCCTTCTTTTCATTTAGTTATTTAGTTGTTCATTAATGTCTGAAAATCTTATGCTGTGACCATTTCTTTCCAGAATGCAATGCAGCCATTCACAAGAAGTGTATCGATAAAGTCATCGCCAAGTGCACAGGATCAGCTGTGAACAGCCGAGAGACCATGGTGCGTGTTGAGGTGGCTCTCTGTGCCTGACGTGCGATGATTTTATCCTCATATTAAATTTTATAGCCCGCTAATCCTGTTTAATAATGCCTGAACTGGAATCCTGACACTTATCAAACATCATCGGTCATCCCCCTCAAATCTTTCCTCATCAATAATGATTATTACTGAGTTACCAAAACTGGAGGATGAGTAAGCAAAGCACCATAAGAATTGTAATGACTCTCCCCTTTCCAGAAAATGCAATAGGAAGTGGCCAGGAAGTGCCGTTGTGATTTCCCCCACCCCACCCACAGGTGGTTTCCAGGAAGCCGCTTTGCCGCGCTCTTTCCTAAAGGAGGTGTTTCATTAGAAATTTCTGCAGAGATTGTAAGTCTTAAGAAAATTAAATATTTTATCTTGCACAAGCAAGACACTGGCGTTCTTACCAGGAATCCAACTAGTCAAGTTTTTCACTGTTCATTGGAGTAGTTTTGATTTTAAACTCTGGAAAACTGAAAAAAAGAAATCTTACGATCTATCTACCAATAACATCCCTCCCTCACTCACCTCTCCCAGCCCCTCAAGTTTTTACATTTATTTTGAGACAGAGAAGAGAATGGAAAGGCTCTTACTCTGACTGCCAAGCTCACAGCTATTCCAGGTTGCTGGCTGTGTGACTGAGACAAGTTTCTAGTCCCCTCTGAGCTTCCTCTCCTCATCTGTCAAACGAGAAGTGTGATGGGAGCTACTCCCGATGGGGTGTGTTGAGAACCACAGGCTCGTGTGGGAGATGACGCAGGTGACACATCTGTCTATTGCACCTGGTGGGAGGTGTGGCTGGGCTGCTCTTCCCGCCTCTGTTCGTGAGTAATAGGTGTGAAGACTCCTCCCACATCAGGCCCTCACACTGGTCAGCCCATAGAGACGGTTCCTTTAGAGGAGGCTTTTTGTTACATCTTCAAAAGGTTAAAGCACAAGCTCTGGACTGAAAGAGAAAAGGAAATATTTATATTAGAGGAGGATGGAAAGGTTCATTTATTTAACTGGGAGTGGCATAGCCTCTGCTCTCATTTAAATAAACACCCCACATGCCAGTCCCCGCGAGCATGGACAGCAGCGGTCTGCAGGGTGCTGGCCCCTCACCTGCAATCACAGAGGCTGTCGCCTTCTTCAGACGGGGCTGTCAGCCTTGCCAGTGAAGGCGGTTTAATCAGTGCTTCCATCATGGTCTCCAGTCTCACCTTTTGCCTCTTTTTCAGTTCCACAAGGAGAGATTCAAAATTGACATGCCGCACAGATTCAAAGTCTACAACTACAAGAGCCCAACCTTCTGCGAGCACTGCGGGACCCTGCTGTGGGGGCTGGCGCGGCAGGGGCTCAAGTGTGATGGTGAGTCTGGCAGGCAGTGAGCGCAGCCCCAGGGGTGCTCGGGTCCACTGTCTGGGGAGCAGGAGGGAGGGCATAAGGCACAGTTTCCACACCCATCCCAGACAAGCCCCGAGGGTGAATGCCGTCTTCCTGGGACCACATGCTGCCCTGTCGCTTTCCTTTCACCCTGCTGACCCCCTCATCTTTGCATTGCAGCAAAGCGCACAGTAGTTCAGGTTCAAGGCCAAGGCCCTTGGTCATGGTGCCTTGTGTCATTCTGTGGCCCTGGGGAGAGATGAGGGCAGAATGTATATATCTCCTTTGACTGGCCTCACTGCCAAGATCCCACTTCACTCTGACCCAACCCACTGATTCTTTGGTGGGTTCTGGGAAGCCCGTTCCAGGTTCGAGTAGGTCTAGCTGTACAACGCCCTGGCAGCCCCTTTGCACCAGATGGCAAGATTCCCACTGTCCTCTCCTCAAGGAGCAAGCCTGGTGCATCCAGGCAGCCGATACCTGGTCCTGCACAGACAGGTTCTGCAACGTGAGCCTGAAAGTTAATCCCCAAACCACCTCTGGGCACTCAGAGTGTCCAGGCGGAGGCCAGTCCAGCTCTGGGCCCCATCTCCCCTCTCTGGTCCTTCCTCAAAGCCAGCTTCACTACACGACCTCGCCCCTCTTTACCAGTGCAGTTATTCAAACCCACCCTGAGAAAAGGAAGCACAAAAAGACCCTCTTGCTCCAGAACTCCGGCTGCTAAGGCAATAGGGCTGGACATGCAGAACTAGGGAGTAGGCAGGGAGAACAATCCCCCACAAAGTGATGGATCACTGCGGCTTGGGGTGGACGCCCAGCCACAGAGGGAAGTCCCCCACCAATGCACGCATCTTTCTCCTAAGGAACTGTTAAACAGAGGGGCCAGGTGATATTTTTCCCTGGCAACCCTATTTTAACTCATGCCACTGGTGGAATGTGTCTTCTCACTTAAGTGCTGGAGGTGGCTGGGAGCTCCCTGCCCATTCTCTCTGGCCTCACACTAGTAACGTTCCCGCGCGTGGTGGAGCCCTCTTGTGGAGGCGGGAAGAGGTGAGGTTTCCGTAACCCAAAGCCACCATCACAGGGGGTCAGCATCAGCCTTGAGAATCTCCCGGTGTCCCACGGACACACCTCTGTCTATGCACCTGTTCAAGAAGATGGGAGTAGGCAGAGGACTGAGGGTGCACAGGCAAAACCTAGCACCCCCGTGTTCTCTCTGCACGACCAGAAACGTGAATAATGAAATCTTCACCGGTTGGTTCTCTGGGGAGGTCAAGGGTTCCATCTCGGGAACCTAGAACTTCCCAGGGGTTCCTGCCATTATTTCCCGTCTCTCCTGCCCGCACTGTTCTGTCCCTTCCTCCAACACTCTCCTTCCCATTCCATCCTCTCCCACTCTCTCCCACCACCTCCTTTCAAGCACCCCCTCCCTCTCATCCTTGCTGCCCCTCCTCCCTCCTCCCTTCCCCTCTCCCCCTGCATTTTCCCTCCTCAGCTCTGCTCCCTCCGGGACCACTCTCCTGGCTCCCCATCTGTCTCACCCTCTCCTCCAGCTCCTTCCCCTCCTTGCCTGGCGCTTCGGTCTCTTCCTTGGCACGAGGGGCCTCCTGTAGTCTTTACCCTGACTCTTTCCTCTTCCTCTGATAATTCCTATGAAAATAGTCACCAAGGGGGACTGTTTCCACTCACAGAGATCAAGTTGCCGCCTGATAGGTCAGTAGCCAAGACTTCTGTAGCGACCTTGTAGAGAGGACACGGCCTTTCTTCATGTCCGTGTGATTCAGAGATAAACATGATTCAGGCAGCAATTTGAAGAAGCAAAATCAAATCCCAGTCCTGATGTCCCGAATCCTTCCCTCACTGTGCACTGCAGCCACCACACACAGGAAAACAGGGCTGGGCCACCCAGCTGGAAACCTGACCCCTACTTAGCAAGTCAGTGTTGGATCCCAGTGACGGCTCAGAATCCAGAGCACCATCCATCAAACCAGGTTTCCTGTTGTAAAGACTTTAGATAGATATAAAAGATTTCTCTTCAGATAGATTTTTGTGGCTGAATCTGTGCGTCTACACTGACTCTAGTAGGAGTTGATACTTATCTACGTGGAAAATGCTGCCTGTATTTTGTCTTTGTGAACTGTCTGAGGAGGAGGGAGCCAGTGAAAACTATGGGTGAGGGCTGCCCGAGTTTCATTTAAATATCTGACGATATCCGTCAAGGCAGCCAGAGATGGAGATGAAAGACAATTGGTGTTTGCTGAGCACCTGCCCAATGGCAATCACCGTGCTCAGCTCTTTGCACAAAAAATTGCAGGTGAGATTAAAGCCTCGTGATTTTATGGTGCCGACTGCCTGATTCCATTAGCACAATCCCCACTGACAGATTTTTGCAGAAGCAGGTAGTATGTGAGATTAGAGTTCTGTCAGCTGGAGTATGGAAATCTCTATTGGATTTTTTTTTTATCTTAATGGTAATGTTTCATGAGGAAAATTTGGATTTTCTAAAATGAACAGCACGATGTAATAGTGGTCTTTGCACAGGCCCACATGCCCTAATCCAAGAGGCTCCCACGGTCACAGAAACTGTCTTTGGAATGCTTGAGACAGAGTACTCGCCCAGCATTGCTAAGCTGGAACACTGTGTAGATCAGTGCTCCAGGGAGGACTGTAGTTCACTGCCAGGGAGCCCAAATTTGAAGCTCATGGAAGGTGCATGACTGTCCCAGTGTCATGCAGTGCCCACGTGCTGTGGAAGCCACGACCAGCACACAGATGTCCTCCCGATCAGTGCTCAAGTATTTCCCACTCCTTTTTTTGTTTCTTTAGCAAAATCTAGAATAACATCTCGTGTGACTTATAAAATGAAAGAAAATTTTGGTTCCTTTTCTTCGAGCTACTTTCTGTAACTAGGTCGTAGATGTGCAACCAACATCACTTTCTTTATAGCCTTGAGACTCACTTGATCAGGACTCAGTCTAATAATCGCTGGGGCCACCTACCCTTCCTATGATTCCACAAGAGTTGGGGAGGCCAGTCTCCAATACCAGGTGCTATTGGTATTGTCACCTGTGCCTGATGAACAGGTGAAGCCCATGACTTCTGTTTCTGCAGCACAAAGATTTTTGTCAAAGCTGGGGTCCCTGTGCCTGCCCAGTCTCCCCAGGTGTGCTGTGCCACAGCCTCTCCTGGCACAGCCAGCCAGGAAAGAGCGTCCCTTTCTCCTGGGTCCACAAAAGCTCACTCTTCTCCAAAGTCCAGAGAGGCGAGGGGGCCCTACCACTCTTGGTCTCTCCCCCACTGTTCTCAGGTGCTCACCTGAACCCCTCATCCCCAGGCAAGTTGGATCCTGAGAGAAGGGTTCATCTTTGTGCAAGAAATAGCCTGGGCAAAGGTGCAGGGATGGGAGTGGGGACCTGGGGGGAAAGATGCTTCAGATAATATGTCAACCAATCCACCTGCCACAAATAGACACTGCATTGATCATCCTGGATAGGCCAGTGGGGAGGTTAAGGGACTCGCTTTCAGCTGGGTCGCAGGAGCCACTGGCATCCTCAAGCCACAGTGCCCAGTGCCCGTCTCTGAGAAACCATGGCCACCAACTCCCTGCACCTGGGCCTGGCAGGAGGTTTTGCTGTGCTATCTGGACAGCTCTCCTAAGTGCGCCTGATGAACAAAGCGGAGGTGCCGTGGACCCCAGGAAGATTGTGGACTGTGGGGAGGACCAGATGGAGTGCGCTGAGCGGGAGGGGGAAGCAGAGAAGCAGACGTGGGCAGGGTCGAGAACAGGAGGAGAAAGGGGCGCTTTGCTCCAGTGCTGTGCTCATGCTCTGGACAACAGCATGGCCGCCTAGCTCCACTGTTGACTTAGGAAAACACCTACCGTGCCCGGGGAGAAAGATGAGGAGTAAAAGGACCTCAAGGCTTCGCTGTGCCCGCCCTTCTCTGTTACTCCGTCTTCCAAAGAAGGGATTTCCCCTTGGTAGCCTTGGATGACTTTTACACCTATAAAATAAATAAAATTTCTAAATTTCCTGTGAGTGCCCAGAAGTCTATTGGATCTCCCAACACCCTCTCAGCCCCGTTTGTGGGACACCCAACTAACCTGTGCTCCCACACCCCCGGGTCTCAGAGCTGTGCACCCCCTTAGGCCCCCTTCACGGCCAGCAGTCAAGTCTTCTGGTTTATTAGCTCAGCTCTCCTGCAGGGGAGCACTAGGTCTCAGGCCACTCTCCAGCTCATCCCCACCCCCCCACAAACACACTCACACCCCAACTCCCCTCCACAGGCTGAGCCTCTACCTGGAGGGTGGAGAAGCTGCATCCAGCAGCCGAGGCAGGAACAGGACGCTCAGGGCCCAGCCTAGGGTGGGAGGAAGCACCTTCCCTCCAGCCCTGGCACCGCCACCAAGGAGACCCAACATCACCCTCCTCCTCCAGCCCTGGCAGAGCCTGAGCACATGGGCAATGCCGGGCATCCCTCCTGCACACGGGGCTCTGTCCCTCCCAGCATTGGCGGGTCCCCAACGCTGGCTCATTGTCCTGCTCTGTCCGTTTCAGCATGTGGCATGAACGTACACCACAGATGCCAGACGAAGGTGGCCAACCTTTGCGGCATCAATCAGAAGCTGATGGCCGAAGCGCTGGCGATGATCGAGAGCACCCAGCAGGTGGGAGCGTGTGAGGTGGGCACACTCTCGCCTTCTCAGCCGTCCGGCACCACCTGGGTCCTTGTGCAGCTGCCCTGTGGGAAACAGGGACTGCGCTTCTGGGCACTGGCCTTGGCACTGACCTTCATCTGCAGGCTGGTTACCTCCTCCCCTGGACTTGGAGATGTTTATTTATTTAATACATTTGTACTGCGCATATTTTTATAAGATCTTCACTTATTTGTGGAATGATCAGGGCAGAAACAAATTATTGAGGGTTTGTTGCTGACTTTATAGGGATTGATTAGGGTCATACAGTAGCCTGAGGGGGGGCACTTATTTGCTAGAATCACCCCCAACCCTCACAGAACACCCAGCCGAGGGCTACTTTTCCTTGCCATAGGTTGAATTCTCATATCCAAGAAAAACCCTCTTTAAGCCTTGGCACTGCCTGTGTAGCTGTTTTGCCATTCACTGGCTGTCCTGTGAGTTATGTTTGTGGTGGTTTATGTAGCACGGGAGAATCAAGCCAGCCCCCACACAAGTGTGAGGGAGGTGAGCGTATCCTGCTGATGCACAAAATACAATAGACAGACTCTCCCCAAATACGGGATTCCTAAAGCATGTTGAGAGAAAGAAGAGCCTTGGTAATCCCAGGCATTTAGATGGCTTCTGTCCCCACGGACAGCAGGCTGAGCCAACGGTAGGGAGGTGGCTGGTGTGACTCTCTGCTCATCACCTAGGCTCGCTGCTTAAGAGACACTGAGCAGATCTTCAGAGAAGGTCCCGTTGAAATTGGTCTCCCAAGCTCCATCAAAAGTGAACCAAAGCCGCCATCCTTACCAACACCGGGAAAGAAAGGTAGGTGCACTGGTCCGTGGCTGAGTCAGTGTCAGTAATTAGCACTGAGGAGCCTTAACCTGGGGCCTCTGGATTCACGTTCTCAATTTTCCTCATCTGATAGACAATCTGCTAAGGACAGGTGAGGGAGGGGTTGACCTGCCTCTCCCAGCTCCTCCCAGAACAGGAAGTGAAGGAAAACTGTGTGCTCAGAGCAACGGGAATGACCCTCCATGACTCTGTTCATTTTTAACCACTTGCTTGCCATTTTCAGAGCCGCAGGGAATCTCCTGGGAGTCTCCCGCGGACGAGGCAGATAAACCATGCCAGGATCCTACACCAGAACGGAAAGCGGAAAGGCCGGCTCTCCACATGAAACTGAAAATCGAGGATTTTATCTTGCACAAAATGCTGGGGAAAGGAAGTTTTGGCAAGGTGGGTTATGGTACCCGAAACGCTGTGCACCTGGTTCCAGGAACTAAACAGCAAACTCCTGGTCTCTGGGATAAATCGGTGGGGCCAGAACTGTGTGGTGTGCGCAGCAAGGTCCCTGGATAAACAGTGGCCCTGGGGGCGCTAAGGCAGTAGCAGCCTCTGATTCCTGGTGATCTTTGTCCCCAAAGCCACTTTGCTTTGAGATTTACATCTCACATAGTAGGGTGTGATGCCGTCAGGTGCCAACGAAACAGGAAGGTGTCCTGGCCACTCCCTTGTCACCCGGGTTGGTTTGTCCTGTTGTTTGGAGTTTTTCTTTCTCTGTTGCTTCATTCCCACAGCTGGAGTGTTGTTTTACTTTGTTGTTTGTTTTGTTTTTGCAGTTTTTGGCCGGGCCTGGGTTTGAACCCACCACCTCCGGCATATGGGGCCGGCGCTCTACTCCTTTGAGCCGCAGGTGCCACCCGTGTTATTTTACTTTGTTACGTGATTTTTTTTCTGTCCCTTTGCTCCGACTGCCGTATATAACAAAATGTCACAGACCCGTGGCTTAAGTAACAAAGATGCCCTTTCTGACAGTTCTGGAGGCTGGAAGTCCGAGGCCGAGGTTTCCTCCCAAGCCACTCTCCTTGGCTTGCCGGGCTGGCTGCCCGCTCTGTCCTCACATCATCTCCCCTCTTGCTCATCTGGTTTTGAGTTTCCTCTTCTTACATGAGGGATTATGAAACTCCTGAGATACAAACTCAAGAAGCACAAATTCCACAAGACAGAAGCAAATGAAGCCTTCCTGGTAACACTAAGCAAGTTGAAACTTGTGCGGGGAAATCAGAAAGGGACGCTGTCCATGGTGTGTCTTAGAAGTGAAGTAATGGATCCTATCACAGTCTGTCCCAAAACTTTCATAGTGACCCACATATACGGAAACTCATATTGGATTATGTGATTAAATAGAATCATTATTTCTTTAAATATAACTTGACTATATGAAACAGAATCAACCGTTCTTAACACCTGTCATTTGGAGAGCCCCTTCCCAGGTGGTATCCCCTTGACGTGGCCACCTCGATGATCTTATTTAACCTTAATTACCTCTTTAAATTACCTCCTGCCCCCAAATATGGTCACGTGTTGAGGAACTAGGGTACTCCAGCGTGGACCTGATTCAGCCCACTAAGAGGCTGAACTTTGAGAGCTCTGAATAAATTTCATGGAGGAAGCCCCTCCTCTAAATCCCTCCTCCTGGGGACCTCGGTCCTGGTTGTCTCTGTCACTCACAGGGACACATGGACAAGCAGAAGGAAAGTGGGGAGGGACGGGAGGAAGAAGACATAATTTAAGGCGATATAACCAACTACCAGGACAGAAGAAAATGTTCAAGCTAGTGACTGTGACGTGGAATAATGGGAGCGTGAAATATAGGCCTTTGGGTTATTTCTTATATCAAGGATAATCGAAGCATTAATAGGGCCCCTGGGAGCATCTTAACCCGACGCTACTGTTCTGTGAATGTGCAGATTGGAAGCCAGCGTTATACTCCACACCTGCTCACCAGGCTCTGGCAGGAAAACCTTCCCCAGTTTAGTAATAAACTAAAATGCAACATGTAACTGAGGCTCCGCCCGCCAAGGCTGAGTGACATTCTGCTCCAACAGGGGTTTGGTTTTAAACACAGACACATTCATTTGCCTCTCAGCACAGTCCACTCTGCCCTGAAAACAAACTGTGGCTGATAGCCCTGAATCCTCCTAGTTCTTTTCCACAATAATCCGAACCACAGCGGGCTCGTTTGGTATTAATCTGAGTGTAATGGGCAGTTTTACAGCCAGTCTTCATTATAATTCAGCAGCAATTAATGTGCAATGAAAACCCGTTACCAAAACTTGAAAGCACTTGATACAGATGGAAATTGCCTTTTCGGTGTCTTAGTTTGTGGCTGGTTTTAGGATGCTTTACTGAAAGAGGTAAAACCAAAAAAGTACTTTTGATTGTTAATGAAATGTTAATTTTCTCTTACTCCCCCATGGATTTCTACATCTGAACAAGCTTAGTAAGAAAGATGCTCTGTTAAGCCCACAGTCTTAGCAAGTACCACAAGGGACAGCTGGAAGCTCCAGATATCCGGGGCTCCGTGCCCAACGGGGTTTGCTGCGCATTCCCGTGAGGAGCCTGGGTCCCCACACGGGGCAGGGGGAGGGCAGGCAGGACGGGACGGCCAGGTCCCCTTTCTCACAGCACCGAGGACTCTCTGGACTCACCTTTCCTTTCTCTTCTGGCTCCATTAGGCAGGCCTGGTTCTTTACCTAAGTGGTGGTCTCAGTACTCTCATTCTCAATGACTTTTAAGCCCAGAAGAACAAATTGTGTGTTTTCTGAAGATGTGAACGTCATTCATTTGCCTGAATTTTCACCTGAGCAACATTACCTGTATTAAGTCAGCACAAAGCCATGGCTCAGTGTCACAGTAGGACCTCCCCTCGCTGACCATGTCCCCTCACTGACACCTCCCTATACTGACCACCTGTCTATATTGACACCTCCCTACACGGACACCTCCCTTCCACTGACCACCTCCCTGAGTGGACCTATTTTCACAGACGGGACATGCACCACATATCCGTATCAGTACAGGAGGCCTAGTCCCTGACGGTGCCCCCCTCCGTATGTTGACCAGTCTGTTACAGTCCCCTGGGTGGTGGCCTCGGAGAGGATGTCCTGAACTTCAAACCTAGACACTCCCATTTTCAGTACTGGTTTAGTACCATGGCCTTCAGCATTTCCCAGAAGTCCTTAACAAAAAGGAATGACAGATGTTCTTAATACCTGTCATTTGGAGAGCATTTTACGGCCCATCCCAGGTGGCATCCACTGGACTTTCACAGTGGCTCTGTAAGTTAGAGAATCAGCCCTCACTGTCCCTCTCCAGGAAGCTGGAGCTGGAGAGGGTGCTTGGTGTGCCGGCATTTCCACAGCTGGAGCGTGGGTGTGAGAGGAAGCCAGGGCCGGAGTTCTCTGCGTCCAAACGCGGCATCCTTGCGCCTGCCGGCTGTGAGCCACTGCGTCGTTTGCAAAAGCTCGAGTTGTTGAAACTCTCCATCACCTGCGGTCTGTGTCCTTTGACATAAGATTTATCAAATCAGTAGAAAAAGGAAACTTCAGTGTTAGATTTTTTTCACTTCACGGTGTTAGGTTTTTTCCACGAACTACGGTGAATAGAATTTTTTCATGAATTTGGGGCAGGCAAGTTAACTTCCTCTTTGAGTCGATATGTTTATTATTAATACCTGTCCTGCAGAGTGTGATGGGCTGAGAATTACACCAGATAATAAAATTAAGTAGATAGCACCTGAAATACATAGCAGAAAGCCTCAGGCCACAGGGGCCCTAAAAATGTTGTGGCTTCAGTGTCTTTGAGTTTTTTTTTTTTTTGGAGACAGAGTCTTATTATGTCACCCTCGGTAGAGTGCCATGGCATCACAGCTTACAGCAACCTCAAACTCTTGAGCTCAAGTGATTCTCTTGCCTCAGCCTCCCAAGTAGCTGGGACTACAGGCCCCCACCACAACGCCCAGCTATGTTTTTTTTTTTTTTTTGGTTGTAGTTGTCATTGTTGTTTGGCAGGCCCAGGCTGGATTTAAACCCGCCAGCTCTGGTGGATGTGGCTGGCGCCCTAGCCACTGAGCTATAGGCACCAAGCCAAATGGGGTTCATTTTATAAATACACAGGGAGATTTATATCCGTCACGTATTCATTTTGCCTTGAAAAATGGGGTAAAAGTTAAAGGTGAATTTTTTGTGCATTTACAGTTATGTTTCAAGTACAAACAACTCCTCTTATCCACTGCCCTTCTGCCAGCGTGCACTTTGCCCCTCCAAATTTTTATTACACACTTCCTCGGGTCCCTGGGCAGGCAGGGCACACTTTTTAAAACCCACCCAATTTGCGTAATGATTTTGTAAAACCTTTGGAAAGTTACAAAGCCACTGTTACATCATATCCTACACTGTGAACCACTGTTCTGTTTTCTCTGGATGTTACCCCGTCCAGGGTGGTGGGGAGCGGAGGACAAATCTCTCCCAGGTCTCGCGAAGGACTTTATCTCTTTGTGAATGAGTCAGGAACCCAACTTGCAAAATAAAGTGACTTCTTCCCATTCCGTCTAGGTCTTCCTAGCAGAGTTCAAGAAAACCAATCAATTTTTCGCAATAAAAGCCTTAAAGAAAGACGTGGTCTTGATGGACGACGATGTCGAGTGCACGATGGTGGAGAAGAGAGTCCTCTCCTTGGCCTGGGAGCACCCGTTTCTCACCCACATGTTCTGCACCTTCCAGACCAAGGTATGGCAGGAGGAAACTAGAGCCAAAGAGATTTTCTTCTAGAAACTTCCTCATGGAGATGATGCATATTCCTTGCTGGGAATGATGGGCGTTTGCCACCTGAGGCAAAGTGGCAGACCCGGCCACCCCTCCCGGCTGGGCATCCCGGGGGCTCCTTGTAATCTCGTTTTCCCTTTCGCGACGTTTGGAGGCTTGTAGCGAACTGCTAAGTGCACTTCCAGCCAGGCCTCACTCAGGCAGCTGAGTTGCACGGGGTGTCTCCCCCACAGACACCAATCCTGCTGTTTTTTAAATATTTGTCAATGTGGTGTTTTCTTGTCTTGTGGGGAAGGCCGTTAGGAATCCCCCTTTGTAGGAAGTGGGTGCCCCTCCCTTGCCTGTCTGTCTCAGCTCTGGGCAGTATGTGCTTCTTTCCATCATACGGGAGGTGTCTGGATTCCCCGCGCAGCTGGGAGGCTTTACACAACCCTAGAAGTAAATGCTCACCCAGCAGTCAAGCCGGGAGGAAGGAAAACTGGCGGAAACTGTGCACATCCAATGTAAATATGACTGGCTCAGCACATAGATTAAAAAAAAAAATTGAGTTCTTTTATAAAGAGAAAAGGGAGGGAGGGGAGGAAGGAAGAGTCACATTTACACACTCTCAGGGACTCCGTGTTTCTGTTTCTGACAAGTCTTCAGTGTGCAAACCTCTCTTGTCAAAGTAACTGATTAATGCCAGGAGTGAGTATAAAACACAACTGATGTGTGATCTGAGGGAGGATTCGCTCTGGGAACGTTTTGAGAATGGCCTTTCTGGAGGGGCCAGTGACCTTTGCACACTACTGAAAGGTGACTTTGGTATGGTTCAAGCTCGGACATAAATTATCAGCGTCAGAGCCAAATGCAGGTCAGCACTGTGAAAGGTGGGTGGTGTCTCAGCGTGAAGGAAAAGTAGGTTTTCCTCCCTTCCTTTCCTTCTTACCAGTATTTCTTTATTAGTTCTTAATATTCACGTTGTCTGTGTCTCACACAAAAGTCCAGAGAGCTCGAAACCATGACCCCCTCCCAGCGACCACTGCGGCACGTGGGACAGCTGATTTTTGCACTATCAGGTTTTAAACCTGTGAGTTCATGACCTATTCTCTGTTATTTACATATTCAAAAAGTAAAAGAAAAAATCCACGATAAAAATTGTCTATAGGAACAGTTGTCGTAAGTCCTTCCACTGTATTCATTTATGGGTAGATTAAAAACAATTAGAAAAATTAACCATCAAACTCTAAAGCCCCATTTCACAAATTACCTTCAATGATAACTGTCCAATCAAATCAACACACGTTTTTTGGGGACCTGTTGTTTGCAAGTTCTAAGTTCTTCCTCCAGAGAGGCAGACTCGAAAACCGCATGCAAGTTAAATTATAAAGCTATTTATTGTAAGTATTTAATTCTAACTAGCAAATAGAAAAGACAAGACCTATCTGAGAATCCTATTCTACTTTCTTAGTTTTAAGCTGCCATTAGTAATTAGATGCACTCTTAATTTTCTTGATAAATTAGTTTTTAAACTGTACATATTAGAAGCCATCTCTCAATGTCTGGATTGTTTAAATGTGAAGTAACCTCTGTGTCTGTTAGAAATTGCGGGGCGGCGCCTGTGGCTCAAAGGAGTAGGGCACCGGCCCCATATGCTGGAGGTGGCGGGTTCAAACCCAGCCCCAACCAAAATCTGCAAAAAAAAAAAAAAAAAGAAAGAAAGAAATTGCATTCAGCTGCTAGAAAGGGGGATGGGAAATAGCAGTGATTTAAATTAGGTTGGAAGGGTTCATCTCTCTTGTATGAGAGGAATGACAGGTAAATGTTCAGAGGGGGTATGACAGTCCCGTGGTGCCGTCCGAGACCCAGGCACCATCTGTGTTCCTTTTCCCTTCTCGACAGCACTGGCTTCTATTGTTATTGTTACTTCTTAGCCAAATGTGGCTGCTGAAGTCCAGCCCTCACTGCCACAGTCTATTCAAGAAGCCGGAGGAAGAAGGGAAGGATAGAGCAAGCTCGTACCAGCTGTCTCTTCCCCCTCAGAGCATTCTTTCATAAGAAGCCATAAAACTTGGTGCCTCTCCAGCTCCAAGGGAAACTGGGCATGCAAATCTATCACCTGGCCACATTACTATCCAGAATAGAAAGGTAGGCCCAGAAAGAAAGGTAGGCAACCAGCCATCGCTGCTCCAACATACATTTTAAAATAAAGGAGATGTGGTAAAACCCACTTTTATTGAGGGGCCTTTGTGTGCCAGATGGCTTCCTAGCAGCTTTGAATGTACCATCTCATTTAATTATGATAATTTCAGTAAAGTAGACATTAGTTTTCCTGTTTTACCCATGAGAAAACCAGGGCTCTTTATAAAGATGAATTTGCCTATGATCGCTCAGCTGGTAACTGGAAACGCTATTCAATCTCACCATTCATCTGCGTCCAGATTTCGGCCTCCGGTGTTCCTGAACTGTGTGAACATCTTGGTGACACGCATGCAGCCAGTTCATTTCTTACCTGCAACAAGTTCTTACCTGCAGGAAAGAACAAACACCAAAACACAGACTTTTCCCCTTATTTTAATCATGCTACAGTAAAAGAAAGATCAGTAATTCAAGGATCTAAAGTTTTTCTGATTCATCTCTGAAAAAACTATGGGAAGATAAGAGGGTTTCGTTGCAAAATTAGTTTGGAAAGGAAAGCCGCAGCTAACACCGTGAGAATACTTAGATCTTGTTTAGCAGGTTTGGTGTTTTTGGAAATAATTTTTCCTTAGAAATTAAAAGAGAACTGAGGTTTGCCTTGTTTGAGTCTCCTTTGAACTCTGAAAGGCCTATCTATATTCAAGTCGAAAACTGTCAACTTAAGAAGCGTTAAGCATTTTACAACTAAGATGATCATTAGATCAGTGGATCGCAGGAGACCACCTCTGGGTCCTTCATCGCTGTCTATTGGGTTGGATTTGAAAGTCAGCAGCCGTGGGAACCACAGTGCCCTTGACTTCCACATCCCTAGCTGGCCGGAGCCAGATGAACATTCTTGGTCCATATTACTTTCAAATGTCTCCTTTATGAAAAAGGAAACAGTTTCACTTTCTGTTTACGGAACACACCAAGTTTCATTTCCATCACCAGTGATGGTTGAGTTTCCTGATTTCCTTTGAAAAAATATTGTACTTGCAGAGAAGTTTGAACCCTTGGGGAGGATTCTTGCAATACTGACTACAAGATGGTATTGTCATTATTATTGGAAATACGAGAAAAACGCCTCCAACTTGATCGTTGTTACAAAGTACGGCATCCTCGAAGGCAAAATCCATCTAAGATTGCCGGAGAGTTTCTAATTTCAGGCATTTGTTTATTTAGAAACTGCCTCCTGGGAAGCTCTCAAACCCCATCTGTAGGAGAACATGGGTCTCTTCAAAGTGCCCTGGCAGCTTTCCGATGCCGAGGGTGCTCCCAGACTGTGTTTCAGAAACTGGGAGCACTGAGGTTCCCTTTCGGGAGCCTTGTCTGTGCAGCAGGAGGCAACTTGGTAGATGGTAGAGTCATGGCGCCCCCGTGACCGTCTGCTCTCCCTCCTCTGAAGCCTGGTCAGAAGCTACCTCCTTCAGTCTTCACTTGGGGAGACACTAATTCCTGCTCGCCTCTCACCCCTGGGCTTCTCAGTGTACCTGACCCAGAACACTGGTGTTGCTCCCGTTGGCTGGGTCTTTCTGTGACGTCCCCTTACAGATGCACTTTTTGCTGTCTCTCCATTTAAATCACACATCCCCTGATATCATGTCACCGCTTTGGTCTTTCTCCCTTTCCCCTCCACTTTGCCCATAGAATGCTAGATAATGTTTAGGGGAAAGAAAAAGAAAACCAAATGTTCCCATAGGAAGTTCTATTGGCCGACTTTAACATCTCTGCAGAGTCCTCAGGGGCTAGAAGGGCTGGTCCTGAAGGCACTGTAGAGCAGAGGGCATCTGTCCTTGGTGGACCCTCTTCCCGCCCCCAGGTTAGAATAGAAGCTTATTGTATGGTACTTTTGAGCACAAGAGCTAGAGCTAAGGTGTCCGTGAGAAACGGTGTGCACAGGTGACCTAAATGATACTCTCGCAGCAGGTTTGAAACAGCACTATTAAGCTGTGATTTGTGTCAGCTGAGGATTTTGGTCAGTCCCAAAGAGGAAGCAGGGAGCTCCGGCTACACGTGGGATGGGGAATTAGGTCTGAGGGCAACTTCGGAAGGAGCGAGTGGACGCTTCCCTTTACCCGAGTTGTTGAGATAACTGCTGGACTTGGTGAGTTTCCATGAGACTCGGCAATGGGTTCCGCTGTGGGGCCAGGACAGCGTCTCCACCATCACCTTCTGTGCCCCACGGCCTCAGTTATTCTCACACAGAAGTCGAAAGGTTAATTCTGTTAAACATCCACCCAGGTGAGGGGCGGATTTCAGGGGCACATTTATGTACAGTCACGCCAGGTGTCTCCACGCTTTCTGAATGACTAATTTTGTGATTTATAGGAACCCCTTTGAAAATCAGGATGCTCTGTGAGCTGGGAATGTGTTTACTGAGGAAATATTTCCCACATAGTCAGAGGGGCTGGGTGCAGGTGTGTCTGCCTCCCTGTTACTGTGACCACAGTGTGATGACCACCAGCCTGGCTTCCCCAGTCCTAAGGACATGCATGAGGTCTCCTGCTGGGAGTGACCCCCTCCTAGCAGTGAAGTCCACAATGGAGAAAAACAAAGTTAAAACTTGATGACATGTTCCAGGCGGGAAGGAGCATGCCATACTCGCTCTGCCACCATGCCACGTCCGTACGACACACCCAGAGATTATTTACTGAGTGTGGAATGAATGGGTGTTTTCAAGCCCCAGCCTTGGAGTCAGAGACCACAACATACTCTCTTCACTGTCCAACCTGGTCAGTTTCAACAGGTGCCCAACACCGCCCCACCATTTGGCTGGTAAGTCCAGCTGGGCTGTCACTTGTGCCCGGCCCCACTGCTGAACCGTGGCACACAGGCATCCAGCAAAGTCACACAACTCCCCACCTCACGTCCCCAGGCTCCCTGGGGCACAAGGGTATAGATCAGCAAAATTATTTTGACGGCAGTTCTATAAGTGATTTCAAGATACAGTCGGCTCCTCTGAAATGATCTTATCCATTTGGAGATTAGCCCTTGCTTTCTGGGGTTTTATTCCTGTAGTTAAGGGATAAACATTGGGGTTGTTTGTTTCCTTCCCCAGGAGAACCTCTTTTTTGTGATGGAGTATCTCAACGGAGGAGACTTAATGTACCACATTCAGAGCTGCCACAAGTTCGATCTCTCCAGAGCAACGTAAGAGCCCTGTGAAGGGTTGGGGTTTGGTTTTCTCATTATTCTTGGTCCCCGTGTGTCCACTGCCCACAGAACACGTTTCCCATGTAACTTTTTTTCTGCCTAAATCCCAGGGCAAGGGCCAGGTGACCCCTTGGGAGGGCACCACGCAAAGCAATAGCTTCCCAGTTTGTGAAACTGAGCTTCAGGTCAGCTCGGTTTCATTTCTCTTGTGTCTAGAAACCAAATACTTCCATTCTTAAGGAGCCAAGCCCCTGTCATCCCTGAAGGTTGTCCCCAGGGATGAAGCTTTCAGGAGAAGCTCCCTGTGGAAGCATAAGGTATCCACCTCCTAGGGCATGAGCCTTGGAGACAGGGGAGGCCATCATTCTGCCTGACAGTGAATCTCCACGCCTTTGGCACCAGGCAGCCTTAGCCGCAGTGAGATGGAGCAGGCTGCGCTCACCTGGGGGACTGCAGCTGGGTCCATACACCTTATGTTCCTGCCCATGCGGCTTCCTCTTGGCCCAGTTTCCTGCTGCCTGTGACATTCGAGCCAAAGGAGACTGTGCCTCCAGCTCACTTACAGACACTGTGCACATGCCAGCTTCCTTTGCTTGGTGTCCAGTTGTCTGTCCCCCACCTCTGCATGAACACTGCGAGTGGTTTAGGTCTGATTATGTTGAAAGAGGGACTCGGTCCACCAGCTCCTGCAAAAACCCTGGCTGAAATGGGCTCCCGTCCACTGATGTCATTACCTCCAAGAAATCCTTCAGCAAAGCACCCATGGAAAATGTTCTCAGATTTCTGCAGCAGAGAAATCACTGGGCATTTTTCGCACTAGAAGGGATTCACTCTGTGCACCGTCCTCTCTGGTCAGCTTGGACAGACGCAATCTATTGTGTCCCAAATGCCTTTGGGGGTGGGGAGGACGGGAGAGATTGCATTTGTCCCTGAGATCCAGAAAGTCCTATGTCTCACAAGTTCTCTTTTATTTCTGACCTTAATCCCACTAGTGACAGCGTGAACTCATTTCCTGTAAGCCTGTCACCGGTGAGGAGGAGAGGTGACTTATCATCCCGCATCTTCTAATATTCTTTTGTCCACCTCTCGGGATGTGTTTTTCACTCACGCTAAAGGTTGTCGGTGTGAAAATAAACCGGCCAGATAATGTTTTAAATGGCTCTGCCTACAGGTCCGTGGGCTCCTTACAGAATTGAAAGCAAAGGGGAGATTATTTGCTTGTCACACTACACGAAGTACTATTGCACTGAACCAGTTCATGGATGTTTTATTAGCAAAAAAATAGCAGTGTGAGCAGTGCAGCTTGTAAGAATGAGCACTAAGGCCAGGCAGAGCCCTATTATGACACCTGCTGAGCTCCAGACGGTCAGGGCTGAGGATGCAGGTGCCGGGGCCTCCGGTCTCCTCCCTGCAGAATGAATCATGGCATCAGTCCCGTTATGTTTAAACAAAAGTATGTGTGTGTGCGCCGTTCCACCAGGGACTGTGTGCTCACAAACATCCGCCTGGGTATGGGGGTGCTATTCTGCAGCTGCCACGCTCACGGAGACCTCGGTTCTCTTTCCTTCAGGTTCTATGCTGCGGAAATCATTCTCGGTCTGCAGTTCCTCCATTCCAAGGGAATCGTCTACAGGTAAGTTTGCTCTTTGGAAACAAATGACTGAGGTACTGGATTTCCCCATCCAGTTAATTCAGTCATTGCACATCTGTGAAATGTAGTAGCCAGTGAGCTTTTGTGGTAGAAAGTTCCATGCCCAGGCCTCCTGCCCTGTGCTGCTGGAGACCCAATGATTAATACTGAATCCCTGGTGCTCGCAGAGTACAAAGTTCCCTTAGGCAGAGAGGGCCGTCGAGTGAGGGTCACCACATTCGGAGTCACAGAACGCCAGGCTTAGGGGAAGCTTGAGAAATCAGTCTGCTTAGGCAGGATCTTTGAATACAGATTTTTTGGTCTATCTACAAAATAATAAACTAAGAAGTTATTTTATATTAATTTTGAATCTTCAAGAAATACCAGAACATTATTTGAAAACCCCCATCAGAATCCATGTTTTCTTTTTAAATTTCTCTTTTTATCTCTAAGGCCTGCAGTATATCTTAAATATGCCTATACCTGGGTATAGACTAGATTGTGTGAGATGGATGGATGGATGGATGGCAGATGGGTGAGATAAATGGATGGATAGATGGACAGACAGATGGATGGGTGAACAGATGGGTTATGAATGAATGGATGACTGGATGGATGGACAAGTGGACGGATGATGGCTGGCTGGCTGGATGGATGGATGGTGGATAAATGGATGATGGATGGATGGCAGATGGATGGGATGAATGGATGGATGGATGGATGGATGATGGATGGATGGTGGATAGATGGATGATGGATAGATGGATGGATGGATGATGGATGGTGGATAGATGGATGATGGATGGATGGATGATGGATGGATGGTGGATAGATGGATGATGGATGGATGG